ATATCTTGCTGTCTATAAATCATAGAAATCACATAAAAGAATGTGTTCTAAAGTCTTTGCCTGTAGGTTTGAAATATGAAGTTCATGGGCTTTGATTTGCTATTTGTTCCAACTACCCTTCTGGCAAATGCTTAAATATTTAATGTAGCATTGAAGGAAAGATTTTTTTGTCTTTAATATCTTTACATTTCAAATCTTCCTGGCTTAAGCATATCCATGAAAGCAAATGTTTCTAGTCAGTATTCTCCCCCCACCCCCCAAAAAATGGAAGATTCTTGCATTCTCTTCAAAACCTTGAAACCAAACTAAAATGTATTTTTCAGAGCTATTTCTAACCTCCTACATGTGAGAGAAGTTTGGCAGGTTGGGAGGTCACATGGTATAGGAAAAAAAGAACTAAACCAGGGAATGAACAGGCCTAACTGTTTGACAAGTTCTTTCTGGGCCTCTTTCTCAGTTTCAAACCATGTGGATTGCCCTTGATGATCCCAAAAGTATCCCACTCAATCAGTCACTCTGTGACTTAGATTGAGATTCTAGTGTTTTTTTTTTTTTTAATTAAAAAAAATATATACATATAAATTTATTTTTATGTGGTGCTGAGGATCTAACCCAGTGCCTCAGTCATGGTAGGCAGGTGCTGTACCACTGAGCTACAACCACAGCCCCATGATGAGATTCTTTCTAGTTCTTATTGGAAAGAGCAAATAGAATTAATCTTTCTGTTCAGCACAGCTGTATTCAGGAGGTTACTCCATTATTTTGGGAAATGTTGAGGGTATTTTCTTTGGAACTGTCACTCACAAGATAACAAGAAAGTCAAGGTTACTTCATGTACAAATGTCTAAATAATTATCATAATTTGTTATCCCTCTGCCACCACTCATTATGAAAAATTAACCAGACATTTAAGAGAGGGCACATTTGAACAATCCCCATATCACATGACATGTTGGATGCTGAAAGCCACTGGTTGATTTTCCTTTCCGGGTAGTTCAGTGAATCTTTCATTTTCTACAAGTAATCAACTTAGTGTTACCACAGCATAACAAGCTGAGCTTATTTGGATGATAGAAGGAATGTCTGTTTATCCTAGTCTCTATTAGTTATAAGCTAACTTTCCTAAGAATGACTAGGAAATCTTGGTAGTTCAACTCAGATATTTGCTCTACTGATGAGTCTCCATTGATCCATCTTTTTATAGTAAGAATTTGCTTTTCATTGTTAGAAGAGGAATGAATCTAAAGGAGTGAATACAAATAATGTGTCTGTTGACTTATTTCTAGGATCTTCCTTAGGCAATTGATTATAAAGACTACAATTCACATGTCACCATGAAAATGCTTGGGATCATTGTTTGGGTTTATAGGTACCATCAGTAATGTCTACAAGAGAATATTTGTTCTTTCATATGAGTCACTGGTAGACGCTTCAAAAACTACTGAAGCTGGGCACAGTGGCACATGCCTGTAATCGCAGCGGCTCGGGAGGTTGAGGCAAGAGGATCCTGAGTTCAAAGCCAGCCTCAGCAAAACCAAGGAGCTAAGCATCTCAGTGAGACCCTGTCTCTAAATAAAATAAAAAATAGGGCTGGGGATGTGGCTCAGTGATTGAGTGCCCCTGAGAGTTCAGTCCCCAGTATATATCAAAACAAAACAAAACAAAACAAAAACTATTGATGGTAACACTTCTAGGCAGAAACTTTTTCTTCTGCTCAGCATTAATTATATATCCAGTGTTCACTTCAGCAGCACTACATATACTAAAATCATGATACAGAGAAGATTAGCATGGCTCCTGCACAAGGACAACACACAAATTCCTGTAGCGTTACATACTAAAAAAAAGTTATAGGAATAAGAGAGGTAAATAGGGAGCCTACATCCTGGGAACAAATCTTTACTCCTCACACTTCAGATAGAGCCCTAATATCCAGAGTATACAAAGAACTCAAAAATTAGACAATAAGATAACAAATAACCCAATCAACAAATGGGCCAAGGACCTGAACAGACACTTCTCAGAGGAGGACATACAGTCAATCAACAAGTAATGAAAAATGCTCACCATCTCTAGCAGTCAGAGAAATGCAAATCAAAACCACCCTAAGATACCATCTCACTCCAGTAAGATTGGCAGCCATTATGACGTCAAACAGCAACAAGTGCTGGCGAGGATGTGGGGAAAAGGGTACACTTGTACATTGCTGGTGGGACTGCAAATTGGTGCAGCCAATTTGGAAAGCAGTATGGAGATTTCTTGGAAAGCTGGGAATGGAACCACCATTTGACCCAGCTATTCCCCTTCTCGGTCTATTCCCTAAAGACCTAAAAAGAGCATGCTACAGGGACACTGCTACATCGATGTTCATAGCAGCACAATTCACAATAGCAAGACTGTGGAACCAACCTAGATGCCCTTCAGTAGACGAATGGATAAAAAAAATGTGGCATTTATACACAATGGAGTATTACTCTGCATTAAAAAATGACAAAATCATAGAATTTGCAGGGAAATGGATGTCATTAGAGCAGATTATGCTAAGTGAAGCTAGCCAATCCCTAAAAAACAAATGCCAAATGTCTTCTTTGATATAAGGAGAGTAACTGGGAACAGAGTAGGGACGAAGAGCATGAGAAGAAGATTAACATTAAACAGGGATGAGAGGTGGGAGGGAAAGGGAGAGAGAAGGTAAATTGCATGGAAATGGAAGGAGACCCTCAGGGTTATACAAAATTACATACAAGAGGAAGTGAGGGGAAAGGGAAAAATAATACAAGGGGGAGAAATGAATGACAGTAGAGGGGGTAGAGAGAGAAGAGGGGAGGGGAGGGGGGATAGTAGAGGATAGGAAAGGCAGCAGAATACAACAGACACTAGTATGGCAATATGTAAATCAATGGATGTGTAACTGATGTGATTCTGCAATCTGTATATGGGGTAAAAATGGGAGTTCATAACCCACTTGAATCAAAGTGTGAAATATGATATATCAAGAACTATGTAATGTTTTGAGCAACCAACAATAAAAAATTTTAAAAAAAAGTTATAGGGCTGGGGATATGGCTCAGTTGGTAGAATGCTTGCCTCACATGCACAAAGCCTTGGGTTTGATCCCCAGCACCACCACCATAACAACAACAAAAAAATATATACATCCAACTTGTAGCCATCTGTAAAGATGAATGCCATTGCTAGGTATAACTATCAGAGAGGTATCGTAGAATAATGAGTATTGGAGAGGACATTGAAAATCATCTCATACAGGTCTGTACCCTCCTATATCACAACAGTTCTTAATTGTGGCTTATGTAGAAGAAGTGACTTATGATTACATGTGGCTCATATATATCTAAGTCTAACTTGTTTGAAGAGGTAACTTTGAACAAGGATTAGAGATCATTACAAATCAAAGTCTAGTGATTCCTTCTCTTCTATGCTCCAGCAGTGCCTAGTCCCATCATAGATTCTATCTTTTCAGCCACCTGAGGGTCAAGTTCAGCAAGAACATGGAGGTTGGGAGTGATGGGGGTGATAGAGTCAGAGCTGTGTCATTCAGTGTCATTGAAGAGGTCTGTAACCCTGAGAATACAGCCATGAGTACATTTGGCCAAGGTAGGACTTCCCCTACGGGAATGTCCCCATGGGTTAGGAAAGAACTGGGTGCTCTCTGTGTACTTCCAAGAAGAGGGTAGGAACAGAGGGGCCTGAGCTTTTGGAAGCTCAGTCTTGTGACCTGGCACCATAGGAGGCCATCTGCTGGGTCATTCTGAGGCAGTCACAAGATGCTGTGTGATACAGTTTTATGAAAGCACATTCTTTTCTCTCCTATCATAGTTCACATTCAAGAGCCGTTTCCCATCATCTGTTGAGCCCCTCTAGGTGGGCAGCCCTGACTAATCTGGAGGGCTGTTCCATCTGGGTCATTTGTGGCCCACTTGAAAACTGACTTAAAAGGCTGCCAACCTGCCTATACAAGTGGTTTGAAAAGTTTTGAAGATAGTGGAAAAACCCTGGAAAGTATTTGGAATAGGCATAATTATAACTCTGCCACAGAAAAAGCAGACTGTCTTGGGTCATGCCTAGCCCCTCATTCGAAAAAAAATAAATAAAAAAAAAAAATAAGTACTCCTTAGTGGCCAAAGAAGTTGTGGTTTTGAGTTGCTCACTATTTCTAGAAACTTCATAAAGTTAATCCAGAAGTAACAGGGTGGAGACCAAGAAAGGAAACATGCTATTTTATGGTGCTTTTAGCAAAGATAAAGAATTTGCCTCAGGCTAGGGGCAGTGCAATAGTGGCTTCAGAGCTTTGCCCCACTCAAGCTGTGGGGGCTGGCTGGGGCAAGCAGGCTTCACCAGCATCAGACAGCAAGAGGGCATCCTGGAGGACAGGTCAATTGCAGGCATGCTGATGCACAATTCCTGTCTCATCCTCCCTATTCTCCTTTCTCCTCTTTATTCAAACTGACAAGTTTCTCTTGAGCTTCTGTTATACATGCAAACCACTGTCAAGTTCCAGTTGCCCCTTTCTAACTGGTTTTCCTTGCAATCCCTGAATATAAATCTTCATTCATTGGTCTTCACTCTTGTTGATTACATTTGATCACTTGGCTTTTTCTTTTTACTTTAGAGGAGTGGGAAAGCAGCTATACTAGTAGTGCAAAATGGATTTATGTTTGAATCAAGTACTATTACATTACATGTTTCTGAAGCATAAGTACCAAATGAAATGTTGCAGAGATTAACATATACTATCTCATGACAGGTAAAGAGTAACCTAGAACTTTGGGAATATAGAAAATCCATCCTGAGAATAAATCAGGTGCCTTGGTCCTGGTTGTAAACCAGTTACTAATGTGTGACTTTTCTTATATAGACACATAGCCCTCTCTAGAGAATCTCTAAAGACTTCAACAGTTCAGACCCCTGAACTGGTGCATAATTACATACTGGTATTTGAAGATTATGGCATGCAATGATACGTTCTGTCTCCCTCACAGAGTGAAGGCTGCGCAAATGGAGCTAGGACAGCAAATCCTGGCAGATTTCGAAGAGGCATTTCCTTCCCAGGGTACCAAGGTATTCTTTTGCATTTTCCCTCCAATCTTTAGATATTGTTATCACCCTCCCCTAGTATACTCACTACAAATTATTTATTTATCATTCTAAAGTGTTTATGGGCAATAGCAAATTTGTCTAATGGAAAGTTTAAGGTAATGAGACCATCATTGATTTTAAAGATCCCTAAGTGATATGTCTTTCTGTTGTCAAAAAGTGAGGATATGTTTGGGTTTAATTTAATGTGTGTCAAACCCTATCTTGTCTGCCTGTAAATTCCTTTTTCTCATGGCTGTGTTTTAAAAGAATATTTTCAAGCTACGATGTTTTTTAGAATTATTACATAACTTATTGGTTTCAGGTTGGTAAAAAGACAACTGGGAGGAATATCCAGGGGCTTATGTAACTCTCAGAGTGACATAGTTAGAAGACTCACTTTTGATGATCATAAGCCTGTTTTTTGAAACTAATGCCCAACATTGCTCACTGGTAGTGTAGTTGTTAGTGTTGTGTCTGTGAAGCACACGAGATTTCACTTGTGAACAATTGGTTACATTTCTCCTGTACAAGCTTTCCCTTACTTGGTTGTCACTGTGCTGGGGTAACTGCTGTTAGTTCCATCCTTCACATTGTAGCAGATGTCACGTTAATGCTTTGCATGTGTCGGCGAGGGCAGAATCTTCAGAAGCTTTTATTCTCTATTATTTGAGCTATTCTGAGGGGAAAAAATTTGTTCAAGGCAGAAATGAACTGGGCACATGGGCCAGCAGCATTCCTTGCTGTGCTTTGTGGGTGGAGATGGGGATATACATCCACTTATTGAGCCAAGGAGTGTTTCCTGGATCAGCTCTATAATTCAATAACCGGAAATATCTTAATTATTTTTTCTTTGTGCTCCATAAAAGAAACTTAGGAAGTAGGCTGGGAGTAGCTGTCCTTGCTTTGGTAAATTGCTTTCTATAGGAAACCTGCTCCTAATTTTAATAGTTTGTGACCAACTGCTAACAATTGGATACTTATTTGTAAAGCACTTTTCTTTGAGAACCTCATCTTCCTTAGTCACCTGATGTAATTCAAGGAGGGAGTAAATGTTGGAACACCACTATTCCTATTGACCACACAAGGAAACAGAGGTCATAGAGGTAAAAAGGATTTTAAGGATAGTCGCTGATTATCAACACTAGACTTCCTAGGCCAGTCTGCTTTCCAGCACTCTGCTGCCACATACCAATTTCAGAAGTTTCAGAAGCCCATCTGTATTAGTTAACCACAACCTACTTTATATCTTTTTTTTCCCAGATCATACCAGGCAAATGAATAAAATTATTTTCTTTAACAATTTGCCTTTTCTCTGGCTCAGTGACTTAAAAGTTTTTTGTTTTTTTTTTTAAATCTATTTTTAAAATAGGGTTTGACACAGCTTTTTTATCTTTGGTAATAGGGATTGAACCCAGGGGCACCCTCTACCACTGAGCTACATCCCCAGCCTTTTATATTTTTTATTTTGTGATGGGGTCTTGCTAAGTTGCCAGGGATATTCTTGAACTTGCCATCCTTCTGCCTCAAACTCCTGAGTCACTGGGATTTCAGGCCTGTGCACCGTGCCCAGCAACTTTTCTTAAAGGCTTTGTGCTATTCTTCTTATCTCGCAAATGGAATCAAGATGTTAAAAAAATTGTTCAAAGTAACCTAGTCAATTTTTCTAAAAATGAACAAAAATTAGAACCTGTGAACCTATAGGTTTTGACCCTTTTGACTTCTCTATCTAGCTTTCATCTGGAAGCTAGAGTTGAGCAGTTGGTATGTTCAACAGGCCACATAATAGACAATAATTATGGAGCAGGTCACATTTTAACAATTTAGGTCTCAGGCAGTTTATGTGACCCTTTTGAAACACTTGAACTTCAGTTGAGATGGATAGAATGGACAGAATTGACAAAAATAAATGATAATGATCTGAAAGAACCTTACTGATCACCTAATTCAAGTCGATTATGTTTCAAATGAGGTTGAATAACTTCTCAGAGCTACATGGCTGTTTAACCAAGCCAAGAGTAGTTTTCATGTATTCTTTGTGGTCCACAGTCAACCACATTCATTCAGTGATTCACCATACAAAAAGGTGGTGAGACCAAATTTCCTTAGGTAATAACAAAGACCTTCCATTGTAATGTATCATTATTGCTTCCCGATCTTCCACTGTTGTTTTCAGGTCAAGGGACCTACATCACAGTATTTTTACCTTTGGCTGCATATATTAGACTGTCAGTGAAATAAGTCTGGTGGTTTGGAATCTGTTTTTAAGTTTTAAAATGACCACACAGCTTGGCAAAAGTATGACACTTCAACAAGAATCCCAGAGGTTGGAAGCAGGGAAAAGTGGCACATATGGAGTGACACTGGTGTCATTATGACTTTTAGGCCTCTTCAGTAGTCTCTGACATCAGAGACTGCTGTCATTCTGACTTTTTAGGTCCTTTCAGTTTGAGTATTCAGAAACTAAAATTTCCTATGATCCTTGCTGGCCCTGTTTTCCAAAATATCTCATTGCTGATTCACAGGATAGTTTTTATGTTGGCTACTTCAAGACTAGCTTAATGATTCTTTCATCGAGGAATAAGTAACTAATATCTATCTACAGTAGAAAGAATTAGTGTCCAGGGAGTGGGAGTAATAACAACAAGAGAGAAACAAGAAGTAGCAGCTGTCAGAAACTATGAGATTTAATGATTGTTTCTAGTATTTGAATTGCTGTGTGTTGTTTGTTTTGCCAGAGGCCAGGAGGACCCAGTAACGTCCTGCGAGATGCATGTCTGGTTGCTAATATTTTGGACCCCAAAATCAAGCAAGAAATCATTAAGAAGTTTATTAAACAACATCTGTCAGAGTATCTAGTACTTTTTCAAGAAAATCAAGATGTAAGTATTGACCAGATGAGGTCAGAGTTAACTCTTGAATTTTATTGAAAAATGAATGCAGCCAAATGTGTTGATTGATACTTTATTAGTACTATGACCTGTTGAACCTTGAATCCTAGGGACTGACTTTATAGTTCAATGGTTCTTAACCATTTTTGAGGTCACTAACCATTTGGATAAATTAATAAAAGCTGTAGATCTTCTTCCCAGAAAAGTGCACCAATGTATAAAACTTTATGTACACCAGGGGTGGTGGTGCATGCCTGTATTCCCAGTGGCTAGGGAGGCTGAGGCAGGAGGATCAGGAGTTCAAATCTAGCCTCAGTAAAAGCAAGGCGCTAAGCAACTCAGTGACACCCTGTCTCTAAAATACAAAATAGGGCTGGGGAATGTGGCTCGGTGGTTGAGTGCCCCTGAGTTCAGTCCCTGGTACCCTCCCCGAGGCCCCAACCTTTCCCCCCAAAAAAAACTTTATGTACAGTTTCAGGAAATTTGCAAAACCCTAAAGCCTAATTACAGACTTCAGGTTAAGAATCTCTGGACCAAGTAAATATGGTAGCATATATTCTTTCAAATGGTGAGGAATACAGAATGGCTGTCATTCTCTTTGTTCTACGTTTTTGCTTTTTTCCCTCAAACTGTCAATACTACATCTAAGCACTGGAGTGTTTTTTGTTTCTTCCCTTCATGAGGTTGCCTGGCTAGACAAAATTGATAGACGCTACGCCTGGGTCAAACGCCAGCTTGTGGACTATGAAGAGAAATATGGCCGAATGTTTCCACGGGAATGGTATATGACTGAGAGGATTGCAGTAGAATTCTGCCATGTGACAAGGTATATTCCAGCTCTTTACTGGTGCTGTTTCTAATTGAACTTTCAAAATCAGTTTCCCACTTTGGTTTCATATTGTCCTGTGGATTGGGTACCAATTCCAGACTCTACCAGATATAGCAACCCTTAGCTCCCAAGTTGGCTGCAAGTTTTCCTGTTGCCTAGTGCTTGCCTCAAACAGCATACCTTCTGTCCTTTACCAACTCTGGACTCATCAACTAAGTTTACCTATACATTTCCCTCTGTTTCTGTATTATGTATAATAGCCTTCAGTGTACATGTTCATCATCATGTAGATTTTCTGACTTGTTAGATAGATAGTTCCATAGAGACAGAAGTAGTATCTACTTTAAGGACATGACAGTCACTCAGGAAATACTTGTTGAATGAATTTCCCTAATACAATGTTTATAGTCTATGATTGATAATATTGGCATCTGAGTGTTCTAAGCATTTTAAAGCTCTCTCTGCATTACCCATGAGTATAGCCCAGACTACATAGTCCTTTATTTTGAAGAATTAGAGCCCAGCAAGGTTAGATCAGTGTGTCCATGACAAATGTAAAACTAGAACCAAGCTTTCTTATTCTTTGTTTGTACATATACAACAACAGTGGTGGTAACTGGTTTTATTAGCTATATATTCCCATCTAACAGTACTAATTACATTGTCTATAGGTTAATAAGAGGGGAAAAAAGCCAGATCTAAACATAACTCAGTGACCTTAGTATAATTTATGGTAGTCTTTTTTCTTAAAATCAGAGAAAGTACAGTCAAAATGGATGCTTTAAACACATTATAGGGGGAAAATGTTTTAAGTCACATTGGCTTTTTTAACCATTTTGGGAGCCATTTTAGAGTCACAGCAAAATTGGGCACATAGTACAGAGATTTCCCTTCCTCTCTGCACATGTAACTTTGCCTGTTATCAACATCCCCCACCAGAATAGTATGTTTGTTACAATGGAGGAACCTACATTGATACATCATCCTCATCCATTGGCCATAGTTTAAACAGGGTTCACTTTTAGTGTTGCACATTCTGTCTGGCTATTGTTTTAAGAAACACATTTACTATCATAGATTCAGACCATAGTATTTAATAAAATACAGTATTGATTCAGGGTTGATTGGGGTTGTCACCTTCTAAATCCCAATTAGCAAAGAAAGGGTAAATTCCTTGAAAAATTGTTTATTAATTCTCTTTCACCTACAGTCAGCAGACTTGCAAACTAATTCTATAAAAGATGAATCCTTATGAGACTGGAAGTGAACTAAAGCCAACAAGTCTCTGTGGGCGTTAGTACCTGCTATTGTTGTCTCAGCTAATGGCAGGGCTTCTGCCAAGCTTTTATTGTTAGAATTTTGGCTCAAGTCCTACAGATACATCATTCTCAAATAAACTCAGAGGCGCTTCATTTTTTATTTTGGCATTTAGTTGTGTGGGAAGAGGATGACAGTTTAGTACTTACTAAGAACTCTCATTGTCACTGTTCCCTAATAACCTACATTCTAAAACAGAATGCCCAAGTAAGCTGCACATAAGCTTCACAGGCAGGAACCACCAAAGCATATATGTTCACCTTTCACATGGGTGTTCCAGTATCTCATGGGTCCCTGCTATATGTGCAGAGATGATTATTGAGCTCTCTGGAAGACAGATTTATAATTGAGTAATTCATGAATTGTTAAATAATGTATATATGCATTTTAGTAAAATGCCAAAGTACCATGTATATTATTAGCAAGTTATTGAGAAGGTTAAAGATCTAAACATAGTAGTCACCATGTAGACAAATTAGCATCCACAATCCTGGAGTTTTCTCTTTTTTTACTGGTGCATAATTTCACTTTAAAATTCTTAGGAGTCCATACACTAGTCTCCCCCTAATTGTGGTTTTACTTGCCATGGAAAATTCTGGAAATAAATAATCCAGAAGTTTTAAATAACTTTTCTTACAGCATATTATTATAATTGTTCTGTTTTATTAGGAGTTGTTGTTAATCTCTTACTCTGCCTAATTTATAAATTAAACCTTACCATAGATATGTAAGTATATGAAAAAACAGTACATGTAGGGTCCAGTACTATTCACAGTTTTAGGCATCCAAGAAATATATTGGAATGTGAAGGACTATTGAATATCTGTTCCTCAGTCATTAGACTAAGTTGATAATAGACCTCACAGTTTGACATGATAATATACATTTTTTTCTGAATATAAGCTGTTTACCTCCTCAATCTTGAATGATCAGTTTGTTTGACATTTTTATTTCTTCATTTTGAAGGGCAGAACTTGCCAAAATCATGCGTGCCAGAGCTAAGGAAATTGAGGTGAAATTACTTCTTTTTGCTATTCAGAGAACGACTAACTTTGAAGGGTTTCTTGCAAAACGCTTCTCCGGCTGCACCCTGACAGATGGAACCCTGGTAAGACTTTCCTGAGGGAGGCTGGACTGGAACATGGATGGCTGGGGTGGCTGGGCTTCACTTTCATCCTTTGGCTCCTGGGCCCAAGCCATCCTTCCACCTCAGTATCCCAAGAAGCTGGGACTACAGGCACACCATCATGTCTGCTTTAATTTTTTAAATGAGGAAATGGGCCAGATCAGTGATTTTCAAACCATCCTTCCAACAATATCTGACGTGGAATCCAAACACAATAATAGCTAATATTTTTTGAACATCCACTGTGCACCCCACACTGTTCTAGGGGTATTTACCTGCAGCCAGTCTCTGCTCCATCTACTGTACGAGGTACATGCTATACTCATTTGTCTCTTATCCATGGTCAGTGAGCTCATATGCAAAACCATAAAAACTTTGATCAAAGGCAGAGCAAGGGTAGGAAGTTGGAGCCGGTGTCCTGTTCACTCATTCACCCCTCACCTCCATTAGCTTCTCTAACTCTCAGCCTTTTAGTCCTAAGATTCTGGGACTTCAGTGGACTCCCCTCCTTGTCCCGCAAGATCTACCTCATAGTAGGTGAATCAGAGGTTGGTCCTCAGGGCACCAGACTGAAGAGTGGTGGTGGCAACAGCTAGGTTTTCAGGCAAGGCCACAAGGCCCTATCTGCTTGGGCTCACTCATGACTTTGTTGAAGTAAAATACAACTGGAACTGCAAAATATTCTTTCTGTACTTAATAAATAGAAGCTATATAATACTCTTCTTCATACTAACTTATGTTCAAAATTGACTTATTTTTTAGTATCAAGAGAAAAAATAGTTCACAAACAGGTAAAAATGTCTTCAAAGAAAATTCAAGTCACTGAAGGAATTAGCTAACAGAAACACCCTTTAGGGAAGTGCATGCATCTCTCCTGAGAAGTATGTGGTTGGCCCCAGCACCTGCCTGATTTCCCCATGTTAACCACCTTCTCTGCCCTACTCAAGCCAGGTTTCTGTACTGTGTTCAAGCAGAGACTTAGGCAGCGCTGAGTTCAGCTCTACATTGAGCTGCTTGAAAACAGGGAGGTTCAAGCATTGAGTATGAACACTGGCCACTAGAAGCCCCTGAGCTCCCCTGGCCTCTGGGAAGAGCTGGTAGAGCATAAGGATAGGCTCTGTGCACCAGTAATTCAGCTAACTAGACAGGAAATAGGCTCTAACTAAGATGCTTGAATACATTGTTGTGTGTGTATTGTTGTGTGCAATTCTTCTTCTCGGTTGGCTGGAGGCTTCTGGTGATTTTGTTTTACATTTAGAGGGGCTCTAGGATCACCTGGGAACAATAGCCCTGCAATATTTCATGACCAGGATAGCTATAAATTTGGGTCTCCCTGGGAGATGCTATAGTTCTCACCTATCCAAGGAAATCCCCCAAAGGTCAAAAGTGGTATGTAACATGACAGGGGAGATCTCTTCTAGACAAGCCAAGGCTTGGTGAACAGGGTAACCAGGCAGAGAAACTGAGTAGGAAAAACTGACAGGAGCTCTGCTTCAGTTTGCAAAGACAATGCTTTTTTTGTATAACACAGGTATAGCACTGTCAAAGTAGCAGTTGGCTGATTGTCAGCCATGTTCTCTCTGAAGGGGGCAGGGCTGGAGGTGCTTGTTTCTCATACTCAGCCAGGACAAAGCTCCTGGACTGGAGCCATTTCATCTCCTGGCAACTGCTGTGCCCAGGGGCAATGGCCATGATCTACTAGGAACACTTGAACTTTTCCCCCTAGTCCCTTCCTTTTTTGGTCTTCTGTGTTTGAAACTTTCTTGAAGAACTAGTTTGTAAATTTCCCTTCCCAGTTGTTCAGGTGTTGCTTTCCTCTCCCATGAGGTTTTTAAGGGAGTTTCAGGTTATAAATCCTTGGCAAGAAAATCCTTCTCAATACCATGAGTTCTTTGTTTATTATCTACATGAACAGCTGTCTTCTTCACACATTTCTCTGAATCATTGACTTATAAAGAAACTCAACTTCTTCCCCTGAACCATTTTTTTTTTTTTGTCCCAGTTACCATGACCCAGCAACCATTCCAAGTCCTGATAGTAGGTGCTCCACAGCATTCAAAGGTTTTTTTTTTTTTTTCCCTTAAAAATGAGTTTCTAGAAAGGAAGCAGAATTTCCTTCGGCCTTTTCAACTAGGCAATCCAGTTCTCCAAGAATTGACTTACTGTTGCTTGGCCGCTGGGCGATGTAAAAGTTCTTACTGTAAGTGATATTCACACTGAGCCTGGTCCCTGCCATTACCTTGCTCTGGGCCAACTGGGCCATACCTTCTCCATCTGTGTTCTTCAATCCTCAGTGGCAGGGGCCTGGTAAAAGTCATGGCTACTGACCCTGCTCCCTACAGAAAGCTCAGGGAAGAAAGAGGACACCCTAAACTCCAAGTTTAGCTGCTTGGCACTCTGCCTAAAATACTTGATACTCCCTGGTCCCTTGCCTTCTCCCTGTGCTGGTTGGTTGCTTCCATAGTGGACTTTTGCTGCTTTTTTTTTTTTTAATATTGGGGATTGAACCCAGGGATGCTTAACCACTGAGCCACATCCCAGCCCTTTTTATATTTTATTTTGAAGGTCTCACTAAGTTGCTTAAAGCCTCACTAAGTTGCTGAGGCTGGCTTTGAAATTATCCTCCTGCCTCAGCCTCTCCTGAATTGCTGGGATTACAGGCATGTGCCACAGTACCCGACCCATTGTAGACTCTTGAAATCCTTCTTGGCTACCAGATTTTTTTTCAGGATATTGGAATAAACTTTGAAATGAACCATGGTGGTATATCTTGATACCCCTTAATATATGCCACATTTCAACGAAAGTTAGTAAATTCTTTGGAAAGTGTTCAAGGAGCAGGTAGTAAGTCAGCCAAGAATCTTGGCCAGAGATTCTGCCTTGCGGCTTCTTCCCTTGGCCATGCCACAACCTGCCAGTACCTCCATTACCCTCTTCCCTGTGTCATTCAGAACCTTTAAACCCTTGGTGACTTTGACAGTAAGATAATGAGAATGGGCTTGAGAGTGTGTCAGACTCAGCAGAAAGACCTGCCACAGCCCAGCTCCTCCCTACTGACCAGCAGGATACATCTTTTGCTATTTTTTTAGAGCTGTGACTTTGACATTTGATGACAATGTTAAAGACTAGAAGAGCTTTGAGGACAGGGCTTACTCTGTCTTTCTTGTACTGGCCCTGTCGAGCTTGATCATATCCTATGCTGCAGCTATTATTGGAACAAGGGAGCTGCGGGTGCTTCTTCCAGTTGCCTCAACTTCTGATCCTTTAGGAGGGATTCAAGATAGTCTGTAAATCTAAATGCCTTGAAATTAAAAGCAAATGTCTGAATGTGGTATAACTATATCCATGTGCATTTTTAGTGACTTAATTAGATTGAAGGTGAACAAATTATATTCAACTTTCTGCTTAAAAGCAGAGTAGATAGGGTTAGATTTTTATAACTGTCTGACTGAATTTGGGAGTTTTTTTTTTTTTAATAAAATAAAAAAATTCCCATTTTATACAGCTGGATTTCCCTTTCTCTTGGCCTGTGTATAAATTGCCTTTCCAAATAGAATTCTCCTTTGGCTTATAGGGGTCATTTCAATATACATGTACACTTGCCCAGTTTCAAAAATTATATTACAAATATTGAAGCTGTAGTTGCAAATTTCAACCATGCAGTTTAAAAGCATAAGAGCACTACTTAGGAAAGCTTGTGCAGAGTGCCTCCCCCAATACCTCAGCCTTCCAGCAGCCTAACCCCTGCTTTAGGAATTCTATAAGGAACTGACAGGCAGGGTTACCAGTTCTGCCCCAGTGCCATGGCACATGGAAATAGCTTTCCCTTACCTGATAAGCTCCCTTCAGTGTCCAAAAACATTTTGCAAATGGTTTCTTTTTCTGGGTGGGTGGTACTGGGGATTGAACTCAGAGGCACTCGACCACTGAGCCACATCCCCAGCCCTGTTTTGTATTTTATTTAGAGACAGGGTCTCATTGAGTTGCTCAGCTCCTTGGTTTTGCCGAGGCTGGCTTTGAACTCGCAATCCTCCTGCCTCAGCCACCTGAGCCACTGGGATTACAGGCACGCACCACTGTGCCTGATGCAAATGGTTTCTTGATGCTAAAGAAATGTATCCTTCCATTTGAATTATATTCTTAGGGGAAGTTCATATTCGTTTGTTAATGAGAAGATGGTAATACATGGTCAAGACAGAAAATTTGGAAATTATAAGCAAAACAAAAATTATAGGAGAAAATAAAAAGCCATCCATTTTCCCATCAGAGACAGGAATTTTATGTTCTTTTTTATACATTTGACCTAGTTGAAATTATATTTTTTAAGTATGTTTTTCTCTACTGCTTTTATTTTTAAAATTGAAATGTAATTCATCTAAAATTTTTCACAAATAAACTCACCTTTTGCCAGGAATGTTGGCACACATTTGTACTCCCAGCAACTCAGGAGTCTGAGGCAGGAGGATTGCAAGTTCAAGGCAAGCCTCAGCAACTTAGTAAGATTCTGTCTCAAAATAAAAAAGCAAAAGGTTTGGGGATAAAGCTCAGTGGCAGAGTGACCTGGGTTCAATCCCATATTGGAAGAAAAACAAAAAAGAAACCCACCTTCTTAATAATTCAGATAGGGTCTCATATAGTATTGCCCAGGCTAGCCCCAAACTCCTGTGCCCAAGTGTTCCTCCCATCTCAGCCTCCTGAGTAGCTGAGACTACAGATGGCTACCGCTGTACCCCCAAACTCACTATTTAAAATTGACATTCAGTGAGTTTTAGCAGATTCATCAGGCTATGCCACTATTTCAACTGTTTAATTCCAGGACATTTTAATTACCTCCAAAGGAAATCCCTCTTAGCAGTCACAGTTCCTTCTTTCCCCCAACCCTACACAACTGTTATTCTAGTTTTTGCTTTTATGGATGCCTATTCTGTATATTTCACATAAATACAATCATACAGTATGTGATCTTTGCACCTGGTTTCCTT